TCTTCTTCTTCTTCTTCTTCTGAACTGCTTTCTGGAACTCGCATATTCTCCTCTATTGTATATGCACACTCTAATCTAGAAGACACTCACCTACCTCGCTCCTTATTGGTCCATATGCCTAATCAGCTGAATTGTTAACATCGGTCACGATTATGTCGACGGAGCCCGCTGGACTACAGCGATTTTCCTCGTAGAAGGGGCGTTCCTGCAGTCTGCTCTCCACTTCCCGCATCAACTCCTCTTTTATGGCCGGATAGTTCTTCAAGACCTCAAAGAGGTCACTCTGTGCCAGGGAGTAGAGGCTACAATAGGTTTGCGCCAAGATGGTGACTTTCCGTCGGCTCTTTGTCAGAACACTGATCTCTGTAAAATCAAAGGAGAAAATAGAGTACAAGTGAGGGCAGAGGGCAAAAATATCATGTACGCCGTTTATTCTCACATCGATGATGGGTAATGAGTAAATTTAAAACAAAATTTCCCAGGTGCAAATTTGTAGATAGCAGGAAGAACAGAGTTTATTGATCCATAAACTTCAGGAGCACTCATCAGCTGCTACCTCTCATTGCATAACGTGAATAACGTAAGAGAAAATACAAAAACTGTGGGCATCAAAAAAAGTGGGGGAAAAAACATCTAAGGCAAAAAAGTTGGGAAGAGGTCTATTAAATCCAGGAGCCGGATTTTACCAGGACAAAGGTAGGTTAACCACATGCTCCAACCGTTTACATAGGTCTGGTTTTGACCGCCGTACATAGGATGCCTCCAGGCAGCGCAAGGTACGAGTTGTCCGTGCTCGAACAAGCACTCGGAAGGAAGTTTTAGGGTCCACTTATTGGCCCGTATCTAGCAAATGTTCTGTAATGGAGGAACGAGGCGTTCTATGTTCCTGTTTGACAAGCTAACTAGGCAAGTGCTCCTTAGCTCTGGCTGCCAGTTGTATTTGCGTTCGCTTTATGTACTTATATCCGCGAGTGCATAAAAATTCATAAACACAATTGGAATTGGCGTGCAGTGGCATGGCGTCCTTCGCACTGGGAATTGGTAAGGCCTTAGTTGGAGAGCAAAATATGAGTTCGGCTGCGTAGTAAGTTCTATTAATGGCGTTTAGCAGGCGTCTCTTGATGGTACTTAAAATGCAATCGCCCTTAAAGGGCAAGGAAACGAAAACAGGCTTTTTGGAGCTAACTTTTCAATAAAATGAGCTGAGTATCCACGCTTCAGTAAGGTGTCTTTGAGATTTTCCAATTAAGCATCCAATGTGTCTGTAGAACAGATTTTTCTAGTCCTCTGGAAAAGAGTATGAACCAAGTTGCGTTTCCATTGAAAGGAACAAAACGTAGATAGTGCAAGTATTGACCTTTCCATTACACGAACAGTCTTCCTTAAGAATACCTACCTAATGTTATTCCTTGTGAACACAGGACGTTTCGCTGCAAATTTTGGTGTGATATTTTCAAAATAAAGCGTATATTTCTGTTATATTAAGGAAAACTGTCTGCATAGTTCAGTTTATGCAAGCATAACAGGCAGAATTTAGGCGAAATTAGAGGTTGCCTGATATCAAAAAATTCCTATGCTATTTAGTATGACAGAGTCAAATATTTTATTTGCATACGTTGTGCTATCGGGGAACCTCAGTATAAGGAGGTAAACTGTAAAGAATATTCCTATCAGAAGTGGAGAACCAAGTCTTAAGTTAATAAAAATAAGGTGAAGCCATGCTCAAAGAATCGCATCGAGTTTCAGCAACAAGAAATGATTTCAGTTTTAAATGTTTGTTTTTGTCAATATCTAACGTTTTGTGGCACATAACGCATTAAAACAGTTTTGCCGTATTTCGTTGTATCACATCAAATATTTGGGACGCCAACAAAACTTGCATATACTTTAGCGCGTAAATGAAGGTACATAAAAACCTTATTAAATCAGAATTATGTGGCAGGACACTATTTTTACAATATAATTTCCGCTTACGTGTAATTTAGAGACGGAATAAACAGGAGGTTAGTAATTATCGCGAAATCTTAGTCTATATTCGGCCAGTTTTTTTGTATTCGCAACATGATCAAATACGGTAAAAAATACTACAAATAAAAAGAGAAAGTACAAAGAACAAAGTACCCAAAGTTATTTCCTTACATTTCAGGTAAATTAAAAAAAAATGATCACACATTTTTAATTCCGCTTTGAGGTTGCCTCAGAAAAAATTAAGATGCACAGCCTTGCACCACCTGAATAGCTAAACAATGCGCTGGTTACAGAGATAATAAATTATGGCAATTTTGTCAAATACTCTTAGATATAACAAACTTTTGATGTGGACGCTGCTTTTGCTCGACTGTTAGTTTTGGTGTTTTGCATAGTGTACAATAATGACCCACGTGGCTATCTTTATAAGAACTTATGTTCAAAAGTTCACGCTTTGGTAAGTACTTCTAAGAATTATCTTATTTTAGAGGTTTTGATATACACGTTAAACATAATCTTCATTAACGATAGCAAGCTTAAAAACACTGAAAGTCTTCTTAAATTTTCCACAATTTAAAAGAAGACCTGAAATATGTATAAATAAATTTGGCGAAAGAAATTTCGTAGAACATTCACCTGACGATTATATTTACATGCTGTGGTCAAGTTTGTACCAATTTTTTAATGTCTTGAGAATTTGAACATTCTTAAGAAAATTTGATTTTTCTAAACAATAAACTGCGACTTTCTGTATTTAATTTTAGCTCCAAATTTGCCTAAGGTTATTCATAATTATTTTCACGTTTTCGTAAATACCGTAATAACGGTTTGCTGGTCATCATCAGGCTTTTACGAATTTCGGCGTCTTGCATGAATTTTCGGTCTCACTGTTTGTCGGAGATTTCTAGGTCTGATGTTAGACAACTGAAGTTTCCTTTCCTTGCTGTAAATAGACCTTGCCTCCCAATAGGCAGAACTGAGCCACCGCCTTAGCCCCGTCACTTTTTTGACAGTTAATTAACTCAACTCGCGATGTGTATTTCAGGTGCGCCAAAAAGTGGAAAAGGAAATTATACAAATGATAGCTAAAAAGCAGATGGGCGAAATTAGCGCAACCTTCAAGACCTAGGCACCGAAATCAGCAAGTACAGGCCTGATCGGATAAGAGTTTTAAGCTCGGACTGTTACAAATAAATCGCCAGTTCGGATAATGCAAATCTTTATATAATAAAAATTAATAAATTCATTGGGCAGTAGTAAGTACATTTTACTTTTATTTTGATGTAAAGTCAGTACTGAATCTATATAAAAGTTAAACAAAATTCTGACTTGCGTTTTCCATATGTATAGGTTAGTTGGGCGGGGTTGTATGGTCGACCACCATGCGACACAATCGCATGATATTTCAGACATGTCAGAGAGACAGCTTTTAAATACACATCTCTTCACCGCCGAAGAGACTAACCCTCGGCAAAAAATGACCACTTAGGTAGTACACATTTTTATACTGATTTCCGATGCCCCTATAAATTCAACTACATTTCAGAACAACATTTGGCGAGTGTACACTTTCGGTATATTCTCGTCGGACCATACCTTTACACATTTACATTTATATTGCATACATGGTTGACTCCGGACATGGTGTGGACCCCAGCGAAGCCCCAAACATGGCATGGCCAACGGTTACGTAACTGCCCGCATCTTTCCGCGCTCTGATTGGCTCCCGCTCCTAAGGAAAGACGATGTATCAATTGTTTAAATTTTAACCTTCCCTGTAAATGTATGACCTGACGAGAATTTACCGAGAGTGTACGCTTGCCAAATGTTGTTCTGAATTATCTAATGGGAATTTTTGCAACGTTAAATACATTTTTTAGGAAATGTATGTAAAATATCATTTTTCGTAGCAATTTGCTAGCCAGTGGCCTCATCTTCAAATGTTATGTCTGATAAAGGGTTATTTTTTAATTTTAAACATGTTTTATCAGTACTGATCTGAATTCGCAACTGCTAGATGAGGCTGAGCTCTGTCCTCACAGATCCGCCTTTGAATTCAACTGAATTTTCCTGTGTCATTTGGTATGACCACGGTAGGGAGAATTTAGTCACAGAAAGCCCGTCGTAAAGCGATACGGGGGTCATCAATCACTCTCGGCCCACTAAGTCCACGTCATGATTGCTTCCCAATCCAACAGAGCAGTCCACCGACCTCTTTCCCAATATCCGATCTCATTTCTACTGACAGCGGTTCCTCTCCTCACTTAACCCAGGCCGTAATGACACGGAAAACCGATTTGCCGTCGACGTACAACTCATTCGCCAGCCGCTCCTTTTGTCAACCACAGACACGCATCCCGTCCAAAAGCTACCATCAGAAAGTGCCTCATACACTTACTTTAGTTAAAAGTTCTTCGTTCAGATTTCTTTTTTTCATCCGAACTCCAGTCAGTTAAGGTAGCACTTGTAGTGACCCAAAGTCGCTTGCAACGCTTGAACTCTTGCCTCTTGCGGCTGTTACCACGTGCGCACCAGTTTCTGCTGATCCCAATTCGTTCTGGCCAATCATCTCCATGTGAATGAATCCCAACGAAAATAAAGTACTGTAAAAAATGGCTAATTAAGTAGTATGCACTTTTGCCATTAATGTTGATTGTTTTTAAGGAAGACATGCACGAAGAAGTTCCTTTTGGTACTTGCTTGATAGAAAAATACACGTTCTTTACATTTTATACTTCAAGAAAGCCTATCCTTCGGTTTTCGAATAACTTCCAACTATGCGATATTTTACGATTGTGAGGTGGTCATTCATAATACATCGTATCCGTCAAATTATTAATGCTGTCTTTCATGTATACAGCATGATCCATGGTTATGGCAACATTTTATGAGAAATATGTGATTTCTTCCTCAAACCGTAGGCGAAAAAATACGTTTATTTAAACAGCATATACACAGCGCGCAGTTTGTAAACATTGAATCCAAGTGTAGCATTCAATAGGTTTAAAAATAATTCGACAATTTAAAAACTTTTTTAAAACCGAAAGGTGCCCTTTCTTTAGGCATTTAATTTAAAAGGGGCGTAATTTGCTACCAAAAGCGAGAACAAGAAAGAATATTTTCCATAAAATATATTTGGATTTATAAAGGCAGTCAAAATCAATGATAAAAATGAGTACTATTTAAGTAGTCATTTATTTATAATGCATGCATTTTGTTGGCGGTCAGGAAGAGGCTCTTTAAAAGCCGTCATCCTATCGAGACTGAAGTGTTTTGAGAATAGGCTATGCGATAATCGGTATTACAACCTTACTCAATACCGATTGTAACGTTGCCAGTTTCTGTTCAAAACTCACTCATTCACTTCCTCCAGGGCTTGTCTGTAATGTCTGAGTGCTGAGGTCATTTGCTAACCAATGTCCTCGGCGATGGAATCATCCAGAATGTGGACACACTCCCTTCTGGCAAACATGCTATGCAGTACTCCCGCATAGGTACTAGCTTAAAGCTCAGACAGGTGTTTCGCCGACGTTTCTGCTGCTGCGTGATACAGCAACGAGGGGTTCGGCTCCTCAGTGGCCCCCAACGTTCCCTATACGGTTTCTCGTATATGACCTCCAGCTATTAATCGGGTTAATAATTATGTAAATTATAAATTGCCTGACTTGGAGGTGCGTGAATGAAATATAACTTTTTGTGGCCAGAAGTAAGATTTATATGAACATTTTTTTGGAAGACAATCGATTTTTTTGAAATAACCACAAAAATGCCCATTCTACAAACGATTAGTACTACAAGTAGCATGAATCTATATTGCAAAAATTTTAGACCGTACTCCCAGATAGTTACTGGCTAAAATCCGGCAACGTGTTTCACCGATGTTTCTGCTACTGCACGATACAACAATGAGGGGTTCGGCTCCTCAATGGGCCCCCCAACGTTCCCTATATGGTTTCAAATAATACTAGGGAAAATAATTATGTAAATTATTCTATTCTGTTCTAGCATAACCACGCATTTCTATAGATGTCGACAACAGACAGTCATCGCAACTCTCTTATGCTTCGTGAAGCACGTCCCACTTTCTTCCCTTTTCCATAGCTGCCGTAACAGGAGCCTTATCTCGAGGCATCAGGCTTGCTTGGATGCAATTTTTGAAGGAGACATATATTGCTCTTAGCTCACAGCTGTCTGAAGCGTTTGTCTGATCTCGTGGTGACAATCACCACAAGATTGACTAAGAGTGTCAGTGGGGGGAGGAGGGAGTGGATAAATCCATTTTCTGCCACATCTTCCTGGGTGACCTAAATCCGCACAGAACGCTTCCAAAACGTGGAGCTACTGCACACGCCAGGCCGAGCGATGGATTTTTGGTCAACTAAAAAAGGGAGGATTGATTCAGACCTCGGACAGCTGTATTTTACAAGCCGGTCAAATAAATACAAGCGAGGCCAACCCACGACTGGAGAGGTTCCAGGGTAGGGCAGATCTCTGAGTACGGCGAAATCGTTAGTTACCGACTCCAACACACTCAATGAGCTATATGATTCAGTCATACTCCGTCTCAGGGTCTTATGATCGGTAGCGAATGGAACGAAGCGTGCTCAACAAACTCTGACCGCTAGCGGGGAGTAATTCGCAAATTTCCCAGTTTAGTTAAGGGCTATGGAAATGAGGCATCTTCCAGAACAGCCTAACATCTTGAATTATTTATGCAGCAAAATTCGATAAACCAAGGCCAATTCTGAAAGAGCAAATGTGGTAGGTCGGAGCAGTACTATGAGCGCGGCAACTTTCCGTAAAGTCCTTCGAGCTGCTAAAAAATAACTTCTTCTGTTCACGTGAAAGAAGCAGCACAGCATGCAACGAATCACGTGAAAATAAAAACAAATTAATGTATATGGACAGCTTTAAGTCAACCGCGACATCAGGTTTAAGGACCCCACTACAGTAGATCGAAATTTGAGCGGGTGTTTTAATACACATTTAAGATTTTTTTGTTCATTGTATTGACTCGAGGCGCAAAATGCTGTCCACTAGAAAAAAGTCAGTTCAGATCAGTATATTGGAGGAAAATTATCTCAGAATTGGGCAAAATCCATGGTTTCTTGATATGCAAACAATTTTCAATGCTAGTAAATGCTACAGATCAAAACGTCTTATTTGTGTGTGTTGTACTATGAAAGAAAATTAATATAAACTAAAACGTTTTACCTGCATATCCAACGTAATTCTACTTGTCTTACCTTATTCATTAGGTTTTTTGCATAAATAAGCTTTTTCCACTTTAAAATTTTATGCTTACCCAGTATGCCCCAATTTTAACTTTTCTGAACTTTTTCGCTTTCCTAAAAAAGCCGGTATTTCGGAACAAAGTAATATTAATGTGTAGACCGAAATATGCCTTATTTTGGATAAAGCGACGGTTACTCCAAAGCTGCAAGACTTTGGGGGAGGGAGGACGAATGACAGGATTTTCTTATAAAAACAGGCAAAAGTAGCTTATGTAACACCCATCATATACCCTCTAGTCCCAGCATTTCGTCCTACGAAAACGGTGGTTATAGGGTGTAAAGGGGTAGGGAAATAGGATAGGCAGAGAAGGAAATCTTTTGAAGTAAGTCTTAAGTGAAAAAAATGTAGTCGAAGTTGTTTCCCGCGGTCACTGGGAGTAAGTTGTTCCGCATGTAAATTGTAGATGTGCGTGGTGCTCCATGCCGTGAACTATATTAAGCTAACTCCAGAACGGTCAGTTGGATCTCAGATAAGTTGAAGTAGACGGCCTCCTAACCACGACTTTTTGGGAATTTCACGAACCTGCAATTTGATAATCCGGTTCTTCCGCAATTCGTTGAACGATAATACGCAGTAGGAAAATCTATAGCTTTATGTTTATTTTAAAGCCACATTCTTTCAGGTATCGAGTCTTACTAAAAATTATGATTTTCAAATTAATGTTATTTGTTGCCTTAACATACTAGAATAAGTTCAGTGACGATACCCATGTAAACATTCAAGAAGTCAAGTTAGCCGATTGAACGTTTTCGATTAATCATCATCTGGGAGGGGGTAGAGTGAACAACAGTTTAGGCAACCAATCAATAATAATTAGGGGAGAGGCGTTATCAGATCAGATAGTCAGATTTTAGTCATAATTCTGGACCTGAGAGGGGAAGAAGGGGGAGGGGAGAAGGGGCGATATGCGTTAATTGTCGGAGCCCTTTCCTCCCCGTACCACCTCATTCTGGTCCG